AAGATATGAAAAACATGAGAAACTTTCCATAACATAAGTCAGGTACCGGATACTTTTTCTGTTATAAAGAGTTTTCGTTATACTTTATTACGAAGAGAAGACGTATAACAACTAATAATCGAGGAATAAGTATTTTAATTATTTTTTATTTATTTAAAAAAAAAGTCATGATTTTTATTAAATAATGCAATACACATACACGTAATAATATACAAAGTGCCCTCTAATGTTTTATTTTAAAATGTAATAGTAGTGGTATACATTTGCATTGGTAATTACTCAGTTGTTCATTATATTTCATAGAACTATTTATGGTTCTCAGTCAATTACTGCATTTAAAGTTAAATTGATTATTTCGTTGCAAAGAGTGCCTGTGACGCTTTATAGATGCTTAAATATAGTATAAGCTAATAATAATGTTAACCAAACCGACTATAGTTTTTTCTACGTTGTATTAGAGAATGTTTATCAAGTGGGCTTTGGCACACAGACGCTTTTGACCCTCGTTTTCGGCAAGTTCTCTTTTGGTGTCGCCCTGTTCATTAACACGAGCAAAAAGAGTCCAGCAACTCGAGTCTAATTTTTCTGTCATTCCCTTTCATAAATTGTCGCTAATGCTTGTGCGTTTCGGCTACGCAACACTTAGAGTGTGTTGCATATTTCAGTTGTATGTCGTGGTCTCATATTTTGCTTGCAAGGAATTACCATGCATACGGTAAAACAATATGCAAAATACCCACTTAATAGTTTCAAAGAAATACTTAAGACGGGAATTCCCTAATCCAACAGAATGTATTGAATACCCGCTACTAATATTTTCAACGCTAAATTTATAACAGGAATTTCCTAATAAGTATTAAAATCCCATAATTTTTGTATTCCATATTTTTTTTCTATTTATTATAAAGCAACCTTGAATTAGTTACAATTCTTGTTTTAAATAAAATGATATTCGAACTAAATTCTTTGCGGTTATGCGGTGTGTTATTAAAATTGTAAATTGAATATTTTTGAGTATCTTAATGTTCTCCTTATTTACAATTTTTCAAAATATTTCTATTATTCCATGCATACATATTTGCATATTACATACAAAAAATAGATAACAGATTCATTTGAAACCGAGCGCTCTTGCAACCGTTCAAAGAATTTTAAAGTGAAAAGGAATGCTGAAAAGGGTAGCAGCGAGCTGTTACGAACAAGAACACAAAGCGTGCCACCCGAACACGAGTGGCACGGTCCCTTCGTCTTTCCTCGTCGTCCCCTCGCCCACAATAAACCGGTTTGGGTTACAAAAGAGTCTGTGTGTAAAAGCCCACTAACATTCTCTGGTTATATTGAGTTTTTCGTTAAATGGAGTTTCGTTATAAAAGTTTTAACTGTATTTAATATAATCCAGTGATTCAATTCAAACCTATCCACAAACAAGAAACATTTACAAGCCTAAATGTATACTAGCATCAAGTATGATTACTCCTTTTGAAATGCCTAAGTATATGCAGTTTTTCTTTGAATTTGTATCACAAACATATCTTCTGAAAATGTCAACAAAATTAATAAAACAACTATGATCTTATGAGTATTTGCCAAAACTACTAAAAGCTCATATGACAATTAATTCTATAAATGTCACCAGTGACCCTTTGAAAGTTAACGTACATATAAAATATTGAACAATGTACATAGCTTCTCTGTAGTAAACAAGTAAAGATGAGATTTCTTCCAAATATACCGACATATTTATCATTATTATTTTCATTACAAACATGCGTTGTGTTTTGGATAAAATATATTTCGCAATGGAATTAAAATTTAACGATAACTTTTATTTTTATTAGTAGTTTTCCATTTCAGTTGTTATATATTTTTATTTGTTTATATTCTGTACATATATTTAACATATATATATATGTATAAACTCGTATATATAGAGAGAGAGATATATGAAATAGTGAAAATACATAAAACCAAAGCGATGAAGACGTTTAGAATCCAAAGGGTATGGCTGGTTTAGGGTATGAGTAACCCACCTCAGGAGGTCCCAGATAATTAGAATTAACGACAGGTTTAGTTTGTTTCTGTGATTTTAATAATATGGAAGATGGTGGTGGGTGCGTTGTTGACGTTTCTTGTGGTGTTGTAAATGGAACTTTAGGCGGTTTGTACGAATATCCTAACATCTTTGACGGTGAATGATTAGTATCTGTGGTACTTGAAGGAATAGTAAAAGTAATATCAGGTGGATTCTTAAAAGGGGTATCAGGTCGTGTGTAAACATATCCATTAGATTGTTTAAGAGGTGATGTTTCTGGAGAACTTATTGATTTAGAAGAGGAGCTCGTTGGTTTTGTTACCTGCACTTCAGATGGTTGATTAGTCGAGTATTTGGGTGGTAATGTAAACGGCACTTCCGGCCGTGAATACGAGTAGCCTGTCGATGGTGTTGGTGATGTTGTACTAGCCGAACGATCAGTTGATACCTCAGTATACGCCTTAATTTGAGTTTTAAGGATAATTCCTTGTTTTCTCTTAAGAATGTCTTTTGACTTCGGAAATATGTTTGGTGGGGTTAAAGACACTTTGGGCTTAGGATAGAAATATCCTTTAAATTTTGGTAGTTCTGTTCGTTTATCTTTTATAATTCTTGGTGGAATTGTAAATAAAACAGAAGGTGGCGTATAGGTGTATCCATTTGTTTTTGGAGAATAGGTTGCATTTGTTGATGGTATTGACGATATGCTTGGATCCTCCGAGGGATGTGAATCCTCTTCTTTCGGAATTATAAATGGAATAACAGGATGTGGGTATGTGTATCCCGAAGACTTTGTTTGAGAGGGAGGTGGCTTTAATACTGATCCTTTTGTTTTAAAGGTTGGAATTAAAGAAAGCAGTGACGGCGGTCTTGGAGAAGAGGAACTGTTTGTTTTTGGTAATAGCGATGAAAACGTTGTTAGATTACTTTTGGAATTAATTGCCGGGTAGGTAAATGAAATAGCCGGAAGTGCGTATTCATATCCTATCGAATTTGGAACAAGTGTAGATAATTCGCTGGAGTATGATGGAGGCTTTGAAGTAGTACTGATCTTGATTGTTGTAGGCAGAGTGAATGACACATTTGGTTTTGTATATATATATCCCAGAGTCGGAGTTGAAGTTTTGTCCAAAAATGTTGGTGCAGAGGTAGATACTTGTAAATTTGAAGACTTGGGTGGTGGTGCTTCGGTAAAAGGCACTTCTGGTGGGAAATAATTGTAACCTCCGCGTTTTAATGTATAGTCATACTGTGCCAGCGTACTTGATGTCAACGCTGTCAAGATGTAAATACCCAATAAGAAGATCTGAAAAAGCAAAATATTTTTGTAACATTAATAGAAAGTTGTGTATTGATATTATATATTTTAAGAAATATAAAATAGTGTATATACGTGCAATATTTATTTTACACTTTTATTCACATATTATAATTATCTTTTTATATTAATTTCCTGAAAAAGGTAAACATTTTACTAAGCCATTTACAAAGTTTCAAATAGAGTCCATCCAAAAAAAAAGTACATACTTACATTTTTAAATAAATTTTAATATATTTAAGATTTATCTTATACATATGAGTGGGTAGCATCATGTATCTCGATTTAGCCAAATGCCTAACTGGGAGAAGTTGATTGACATTCAAGTAGCTACATTCAGAAATACATGTTTCACTAATGAAATTACTAAAGCAAAAGCATTGAACTTCATGTAAGTAATACTTTATCGAGTTTTCGAAACAATATCTAATAAAATGTGTACTAATGAAATGAGAAAAATAAAAATCAAATAATTAAATAATTAAATATGATGTCCAACAAGATGATTTTAATTTATTATTTATTTAATTCCATTTGAATATACATTGCAGTAATGATTGTTTAGACTTTTTTAAAAGTCAGTGGGGAGGAGCTCAGTTAAAAAAATTGTTTTTAAATTTGAGCTTTGACCAAATTAGTCACCACAAATTGCGCTGTTATAAAATATGTTTGAAAGGATGTTTGTTTTAGGAAGTATAATTATGTTAATATATTTAATGTCTGACATAGTTATATTCGAACACACATAGATTACCGTTCATGGAGCGTAAAAAATGCTAGTTCAGGGTTGCAAGTCTGACCAGTCAGTCATTTTGATGGTCGTAGCGTATCATTATTAACGTTCGTAATGTGTTTCCGGCCAGATTACTTACTCGTTAGACAATAACTTCATGCTACTCAGCTCAGAGTGTATTTGTTTTTATGCATTTAATTTTTTTAATGAAACAAAATTTTATAACTTTTTTTTGTGTGTAATAAACTTGGTATTATCAGCAAATATTCTAAAGTTCTTTCATTGTTATACTAATCAAAGCATTTAGATACATATTTAGAAAATATGTAACTTTTACTTTTGGATTTTCTTTACGGTATTCAAAACTATGAAGCAATTACTTTTAGTAAAGCTATAGTATTATCTACCCATACCATAACTTAATTAGCGTTACACTGTCAAAATTAAAAAAATATGCTGCTTTGTTTACATCTCTCATCTTAATATATATATAACTACATGAAAGCATCGAAATGCTATATGATACTACTTTTATATTCACTTTTTATTTTTAATATTTCACAATGTTCAGTTGCAACTCACCATATTTCCAAAAACAATACTTAAAAAATTTTAAGGTTCATATATCAACTGCTGAAAATCATTAAATTCCTTCGTGTTTCCTTAATACGTGAACATATTAATACATATTTTACAGTTTTGCACTTATAACCGCTTGAATTTATCTCGTTTTTATAGATATTACGACTAAAATAATATACTTGTGTGCGATTATATTGAACGCAGACGTAAATTAAAGAATTACACACAGTTTCAGTTTTGTTTCTTTGCTCATTAGTTGAAGCGAGGTGAACTCGAGGAGATTTTTAAATCAAATACGAGTATTACGAATGTGCTTGTTGTATTTATGTTTTTTGAGAAGTGCTTGTCACTGATGCGTGCAGAAAACTGTCTAGAATATCAGCATCATTGATATTCATAAAACAAAAACAACTTTATGCTTACTGCCAACAAACTGTTCATTGACTTGCTGACGTGGTATGATCTACAAAAAAACAGCTCGCTTACACATTTATAAAATAATACCTTAAATAAATTTGTAATGAAAAATAAGAACTTATCTTCCAGTAGTACCAGAAATAAAAGTTATTTTGATAACGATTTAATATACAAATTATTGAAAGAGATTTTTAGTTTTCTCCTACATGCACATTGGGTTTTGGAATTGAAGTATAAAATAGATGTTAAATACTCAAAGCTTTAAAAATGTCTAATTTACAAAGACGATTCAAATTTTATTATTATATTAGCAATTTAAAATTTTATTTCTCTTTTGTAGGCGTTCTTTTATTTTTTATTAACTACACATAATAGCTGTAACGTCTCATTTACTAGAATAAATTTAACCTGATGAAAAACGAATAACTAGCCTACTCAATTTAGAAAAAGCATAAAAGCATAAGAAGAGCAAACAACAATCTAAAGTTGGAATCAAAACTGAATCTTCCTTTCACATTACTAAAGTCTTAGCTTGTAGCTTGATATTGTTTGTTTTAATGTTTTCCATTGCGTCATAAATTTATACTTAAGTGTTTTTGTTTATTAGATCATATTTTAATATCACATTGTTTAATTAATTTTATTCACACATAATGTAGATGGTTTGCTAATATTAACAAGACATTGATTGTACATATTAAAATTAATCTTAATATTCAAAAATTCATGTAATTCAGCAAAGCAATGTCACCACGTAAGAGTTGTACAAGTAAACAATTAAGGAAGGGCTAAGTTCGGGAGTAACCGAACATTTCATACTCTTGCAACTTGAAAGCAACAAAGGCGGAGGAACGGCTTCAGGTTTTGGCAAAACTTTATATTAAACTAAGCAAAGTATTCATTTAAGAAAGAAGGACACACTATTATTAGAAAGAGATTATATCTAAATTTCATTCAGATTGTATACAAATTGACCGATAGATGTAGTATAAAGAGAACTGGAAGTTCTAAAAAAATATAAGTCACAAATTCCGGGTGTTTTTCGACCATCGCTCGCTTTAATTTTATGAATTGTTGTCCGGAGCGTTCTCCATTAATGGCTTCAGCCGTTTTTCGGAGCTCATAATACAGCACGCCCGTTTGATCCCACCAATTATAGAGCATATTCTTGGCGTCATGGATGATTGATTTGTCTGATAATCTTGTCGTATTATTTTTCAGCGTCTTTTGGCTTAAACTCATTAGGCACCAAATTTCCTTGCTTCAAGTTAAAGCAATGAAGAAGAATTCCCCCAAAAAAACTTTTTTAAACTCAAAGGTTTGGCCTATTAAAGTGAAAAAAAAATTGTTGATTACGCTTCAAATACGCAAACCAGTTCCTTAATTTTGAGAAATTTTACAAAGTCCAAGTCCACGCTATAATCTCTAAACATATTGTTCTGATCGGTTCACTATTGCATATAACTGTCATACAAAGTAACCTATCCAAATCAAGTTCATGTATAGAAACCTTTTTTATTCGTGAAGGGTATTCTATTTCCGGAGCAGCCAAAGTTAACATTATTTCTTGTTTTTTTACTAAATTTACTCGTTTCTGTTCAGGATCATAAAGGGCTCCATATACTAAATACAAGGACTTTCAAACTTCGGGTTGACCTTATACTGTATATATATGTACATATGTCAATATTTGGAAAAGAAATTAAATGGACATTTTAGTAGGTTGCCTATACTGGAAAGTAGAATATTTTCTTTATATATTACATATATAATATTGGCAAAAAATACATATGAATATATGTATTACAATCATAAATAGCAAAAAATAGTTAGGATGATATACAGGTAGGATATAAAAGTATGGCGTGAGTATATAAACGAATTTTCAAAATGATGAGAGGAATCAATTTTAAATGTTAATACGTGCTTTGGAACGGCTCTGTTCTTAGCTTTTTGTATCCAGAGTTTCAAAAAATTCTTTATATGCTACATTTAAAAGAAAAGCAAAACGCGAAAGAATATTACGAATGTACGTATCCCATTTATTTGTTTCATCAAACGAGTTTACAAGGTCAGTGCCTTCGATCATGTAAGACGACATTTCCTTGCTTCTTAACAGTAAAAAAAATTATTTACTTGTACATGTTTTCTGTGTGTTTTACACATTTATACTCAGCGATTATTCAAAAGACTTAAGCAGCGAACTCGTTTAAGCAGTTGAAAGTATCTATACAATATATTTTTACACACGCAAGTATTTATATATAAAATTTGCTTGTTCCTGTAAAAATTGACATTAAATTGGAATTCAAGGCGAGTACACTTTAAGAAGATCAAGAAGTGAAAGGAAATCGGTTAACACTTTTTTTGTGGAGCATCTAATGTTGTTATAATAGCTAAATATTGAATATTGAAGACAATACGTTTATTGTAACTTACCAAGGCATAGATACCATATATAACAAAATCAAAAATGGAAGATGTATAATTTAGAGTCTTAAACTAAATGCAGATATTTTAAACAAAATCTCTCGATTAAGTTTTATCTGTTAAAACGCTTATTAATTTCTGTCAACCGAATAACCGTGTGTAACGATTTTATTTACAATATTTTGTGAGCCCACCGATATTTGCATTATAATAAAGGTATTAGAAATACATTTGTATTTTGGCTTGAAAATTTAAGATTTTTTATTATTTAATTGATGGAATAAACGGATGCGAAAGTAGTTTTTCAATAAATGTACTTTTTATTATAATTTTATTAATAACTTTTTAAAATCAAATTCGGCACCATTTTTGTCTTTATTACAATAGATTAATTTTTATTTCTTTATTGGATACGCTAATTTATTTTTTTATGATTTTATTAATATTCGGCAAGAAATATATTTTTTAATTTCCATAATTGTATGAGAATCTTGCAACATGATTTCAACTAGCGGTTGTGCCAAATACATATGATTTAATATTTTTTATAGGTAAGTACAATACTTTGATTAATACTAATGATCTTGAATTTTATTATTTGTTGATCAAAACTGTGCAAAATTTTTACTTTCATATAGACGAATTCCAGTATATCGCTTTACCAGTAATGGCCATGAAATCCATGATGACCGCCATAGTAGCCACCATAATAAGGGTAACCTGTATAATACCCAATCGCTATTAAAAAATTTCATTATATATATGTATGTAAATATAACATAATAAAATTATGCGCAGACTATAATAGGGAATATTGGATAGAGTAAGGTTATTAAGCTGTAATTCTCAGATTAATCTTAATAGAAACTATGTTATTAATTTGTGATTAACATTCAATAAAAACTGTTTTCGTCTTTAAATCGTTGCATTAATATTACTACCTATCATACTCTCATTCCAACTTTGAAAGTTGAATGTAGTATATAAAAAACTCACCTAAACCGTATATGCCACCATAATATGGATTGTATCCCCCATAGAAACCACCACTCAAGTAAGGGTACGAGTAGTACCCATAACCAATGGAGGAAGACGATTGCAAATCGTCTTTTTCGCTATAAACACCACTATCTAAGTCATCTGATTGACTGGATGCTATAACTTGCTCGGAATTAGGCGCCGCATGAATTGAATTTTCCGCTAGTATCATTGTGCATAACAAAACTATAGACATCACCTGGCTACACTTTAGTAGAGCCATACTATTTTATTGTTTTATATTTTCGACTAATATCTTTAAAACTTTCTAATAAATTAAATAATATTAATAGAGTTTCCTCCGTTTATTATGTTACCGTATAACAATGACAACTGATAACTACAAAATGACTATTTGCGCTTTTATAAGCATTCATCTCCAGAAAGTCGACTTGTTGATTATACCTACACGAAAAATAAAAAAGTTTTCCTACAACAATGGCGTGTATTTTGTTAAACAATGGAAATGTTAAGAAAATTGATAAATAAATAAGTTTTTTTTAGTTTTAATTATAAGCCCCATCAAGGTTTCGTCGGATAATGTTCTTCTCCACCGCTCTTTGACAATAGCTCAAGCATACAAACCTTTACTTGTTTTCTCTATTAGACTAAAATGTGGGCCGGACTGAAAATTTCAGAGCTTTTTTACGACTGAGGTGGGTACTTGCATGCCTATTAAACCTTGTGATTCTTTGTAATTATCTACTTCTATGTATGTATATAACTACATGCTTTTCCATTAATGTCGCGCGTTCTTGAAAAATTTCGTGCGTGCCTAGTGTTACTGCTTACTTCGATTTACACTCGTATGTACGAGTATGCAATTGTTGCTGATAACTAGTCAAAGTAAATTTACTTCTTGCATGACCGATCATTAATTGTACTTAATTTTACTTCCAAAACATAAAAGTTGCGCAAAATATTTCCAAAAGTGAAACCGAATTTATTTAAATGAAAACAAATCTTGAATTCCTTGGAAATTACGAATATATGTACGTATGTGTAAAATTGTCTTTAGTTCTTTTAAAACATTTATTGGGCTAGACTTACTTCAGGAAGTTTAATATTGTGAAAACATGTAATTGTAATGGATGTTCTAGTTTTAATAGCAGTATCCCATATATCAGAAGTTTAAACTTTATTTCGATAACTTTTCGAAGACTTAAGTTATTAATTGTAAAGTCAAATGAACACGAGAGCAAGGCATGGTTGAAGTTAAAGATTAAATATTTTAAAAAGATTTCATAACCTTTAAATTTTGGTTTAATGATTTTCACTTATAAATACCAGCTATACCCATGGCTCCAGATCCTTTTCAGAGAAACTTCACTAATAAACATAAATATATGATATAAAAACGCCTTACAAGACGAATTTCTCTAATTGAATGTTTAGATTTCACTAAACAGTGCAATAACTTATAAGATTCCAAAAATTTGGAGCTTCCATTGTTGTTATGTATAAATCGAATCGAAAGCTGAAATGAAATAACAATTTTGTTATATATTACAACTTAACTTAACTTAACCTAACTTTATTATATCTCTTATAGTTTGCTCCTTCTCCATTCAATGGATATTTTGTGAATGTTGCATATTTCTGATGTTTGCTATGACATCTTCATAGAGAAGCCTATCAGCCGTTTTCCGATCAGGTTGCTTTGTACATATGCCGCTTAAAATATAACAATCTCTTTTTCGTTTATTTTCTTCTTGAGTTTTGGCGTATACAATTTTGAAATCATTTTGCGGGAAATTTTGTGGAGTTAATCTTTTCATATTGTAATTTGAGTTCCATTTTATCAAATCTACTTCATTACTCAAAAGAAAATTGGCATCCTTCAATAGATTATCCATGTGCAATAACAATAAACTCCCTTTTCGAATAATCAAATTTGCATTATCGACTAACTCCGAAGTAGATGGTTGTTTTTTAATTTTTGGTTCGCCTTTAGAGTTAAACGCTTCCTGTAATTCACGACGAATACGATTACTCCGCCATTTTTGCGACAGACTTTTATGATCGTTGCCTCGTCGAAACTTGTTTTGTTTGTTTGCCACCTTCATAACCACAGTATGTGTTGTGAACTTTTTGTGGCGGTGTACTGCCCGTTGTATCTGCTGTTTCCGCTGATCATGTAGTTTCTTGTTTTTACGAACTGATGCTAAGACTTCGCGCGGCAGTGTAGTGGATGCTGTCAACATCGGTATATATTGGAGCCGAGTCTTTAATGATGATAAACCCGTTGTGTTTGAATCACTTACAAGTTTTTTGTGCATACGTTTATGCGTTTGCATTTGTACTTTCTGGTTTAGTTTTATGTCCGCCAGCTGTTTTTTTACTTCGTTCACTTTCTTTGGCCACTTGCTACTTGTTGCACCAATTGTTAGAGTGGAAACTTTCATTAACTCTGGCATTGACACGCGGTTCATTGACTCTGGTGCTTGCTGAACGCCTGCTTGATAAAAAATGTTGATTAACAAATGAAAATATTTGTGAAGGCAGAATTATATGCATCACATTATTTGCAATTTGTTCCGAATTAATACCTTGTAGATGAAATGGTACTCTGTCAGATAGAGTTCCAAGTGACAACCCTTTCAACTTGATAGCGATACACACTTTGAAAAACCAAAAGCTTAGCACGAATATTCTAATTGTATTTTTCATGGCTATCCGTACAGCTTTATTCACTTTCACGATAACATTGTCAACCGCACTGTACGTTGATTACATTTAAACTGTATACGGTTTTACCTATACAGGTAATTTATATACTAAATATCATATATCTTCTCTTTTTACTAAGTGAAAATAGCCAACTGGATAGTTAGATGTGTTACAAACAGAGTTTGTGAGACTGAGAAAAAGGAAGATAGATTATTTCAATTAATCACTGTCCAACTTTATGAAAGCGGAAGTGTTTTCAAACCGCAAATCAATTTTTTATGAACCATTCAAATTAAATAAGCACAGCTGTATGCCAATAAAGTCCCATGCAGCAGTAAAGTCACATGCAGGAATGCAATTAACGTGTAGGGAAGCCTATGCAAGTTTTGTTTACATAACGATTATTTGTAACACATAAAACTAATCGAGATAGAAATGTATGTATCAAAATGATCAGTATAACGAGACAAATTGAATTCCTTGAAACACTCAAATTTGCTACAGGGTATCGCAGCAGGGGCATCTGTGGTTTAAAATTGTTTAAAAAGTGAAGGTGAACCAGCCCTCTAAAAGGTTGAATGTATATATTTCGAAAACTAATCAAGCTGAACTTAATTGTGTTCAAAATTGCTTAAAGTGAGATAATTGGACGGAGTGTCAGAAACAAATATAGGATTGTAATGAAATCAGCTCTTGGTCAGTGGCCAAATAATAATCACGACCTTTACATAGCCTTTCCCTATGTTCAAAATTATTTAAAATGAGATAACTGTCTAGAGAAAAACTTTAAATTCATTAAATTTTACCATAAAAATAATATGATGGAATTACAATTAAATTACTCTAAATATTGGACTATAAGCGTGACCCATCCGGTTGACTCTGTACAGTTTCTATTAGTCAAGATGTGTGTTTTTTAATGAAATTAAACGGATTTCTTTTTGACCACAATGTGATCTGGCGTCGAAAATGAATGAAATCGGTTCTTGTTTTAACCCCTCATACCTAATATAATGTTATCTGCTACTTTGGATGAATTTATGTAAAATATTATATTTTTTATGTGAGATATTTTAAAAGCATTATATGATTAATAATAATGTGAATTGATGCAAAAGATTTATGAAATCAGACCATATGTTCCCCGAACCCTCATACATCCTAATAATAATTTTCGCGCTTCTGATTAGTGTATTTTATTTCTGCAGAAATTAACAATAATAATAAGTAATGATTTTATTCATTTTTCGTATATGATTCATGATATGCATATAACTACATAAACATCTTTGACCCTTTATAAACAACCTTTAGTAACTTCTTTTAGTCAAAAGTTAAAATATTTATAAATTTATGAAACAGGCTTTGGTCAACCCTTAATGTTTTCCTATTATTTATGCATACTCACAAATATCATACAATTTTTATTTCATCTTCTTTTCCACTAATTGTAGTTTTATATGTATTTATGTATAATGAAATGAAATTCTCCATAAGTTTCTTTCAAATATGAGTTTACTTAAACTACAACATTTGCTTATTTCTATTGGTCATCATTGTTCTTAAACAAATCCAAATATTTATATACATGGATATTTGCTATGCATTCCTATGAAAGAACTCGTGTTCGAAAAAATAAATTAATAATTAAATAAACACGCTTAATAAATTAAATAATAAATAATATAAAGGGAATAATTAAATTGTATTATACGTTCCATACTCACATATCGTGAAATGTCTATAAATAGGAAATATTTTTCTAATAAGAATGACCTTTCATTTTTATTAGAACCGGATGCCAGGTATTGTCATCTATATGAAATCTGTTGACCTTATCTACTGCACTTCCGGTTCTGTCACGCAAACTCAGTCCGCTTCCTTCATTTCTTGAGTTGACGCCTAAGTCTTCCGATACAAGTGGAGTCTGTGGTTTCATTATCTTATGAGGATACATTTGTCCCTCACTACTATCATCAGTTTTCTTGTGTTCACCTATTGTTTTTACTGTCGCCAGGACGGTAGAGTACTTTTGATTTTCGAAAAAGTCAATAATAGGATGATAGCTATAGTTTATTCTTTTTACACCCGGCTCAGATGGTACTTGAGAAGTTTCTGCTGAATTACTAAAATCAGTTGAATTATATTCAGGATTATGGATGGAGTTTACATGGAATGAAGGAACGTATGGAAGCTGCGTGGAAGTCGGTTGTTCATGTTGCGAAAAACTCCACTGATTTGGGTGACGCGCTGTTGACGGTTTTGATCTATTTCTGGTTTTAGCGGTTGATGTAATAATTGGCTGTGCTTCTGAGCGAAATCGTGGCATTGAGTTCTGCTCTGCATTTCCAAGAAATTGGTAATGTGTGTTAACCTTGTTGTTGGAGCTGTAATTACTTGGTTTTTGTTGAGTACCGTTATAGATCGAGTTCGGCCTTGCCGTTTGATGGGCATTGGTGGTAATGCTGTTGCTACTTTCAACGACTCGGTGTTTAACGGTCGTTGTTGAAGAAGTTGGGTTTTCCCCCGCAATGGGAGAGTTAACGGTGTCAGTAATGGATGAGATGCTAGTTGGAGCTGTATGGAGCACAGAATGAATACGTTGCCGTTTTTGTGGAATTCGCTTATTAAGTTTGGCCAAAGAGCTAGCAGAAAAGTTTACCTCTTGCTTCTGATGCAGCTCACTTGGTGCAATATCCAAATCTACACGTTCCTGATTGAAAGTATTGGCTGGGCCCAGTCTTTTATGTGGCCGCCTACGTTGCGAGTTCCTTATTATATTTTTCGTAGTGGCCGATGTACTTAAAGAAGAACCAAAATTATGATGTTTATGCTGAAGTTCTTGCTTATAATCAATGAAATCATATTCTTCTTCGCCACCTGGTGGGATTAAATATGATCCCAATGTTGGATTTGGTGATTGAAGTTTAAATCGACTATCTAACAGTAACTCATTGTTATCATACTTTTTATGATTTCCTTTGAGACCATTATTGAGTTGGTAATTTAAATCATCCTCATCCTGTTCGTCATTGTAGTCGAGCTCTTCATTAATAGTCGAATAAACATCTGAATTTAAAGCTGTTGTAAAATGTCTTGTTTTGGTATCTGCTTTGAACGGAAAATGCTGCCGCAAACCATCTATCTGACAAGAACAACAAGTAGGTACTTTGAATATATCCACATGTAAGCCACGTGTTCTATCCCAACTAAGCAAGCGATGGTAATTATAGACCTGAGTGCAATGAGAACGATATTTGTGAGCCAAATAGGAGCAACTCTCTTGGGGTGCACTGCTTGAAAAAATCAATAACAAAAATATTTAAACTTCTTAAATCAAAAGGGATATTTTAAATACTTACATGCATTTCTCCAATCTGAGCGTTTGAGTGTGCTGACCAGTATTAACTATATATTTCCATTCTCCAGATGCGGAACGAGCCTTTTGAGGGCGCGCATACCGAACAATACTCTGACACATTCCACCTCCAGAGGCTTCGTTTTCTTTACTGAAGTTAATTTCATTCATAATGAAACTTTACAATTTAATTTATTATACTAACCGACGGATAGAAAAGTCGTCAATATCATCAGTTACATCTAACTGAATATGCTTGTCATGATAATCGGCCCACAAAGCAACCATAGCGTTTTTATGGCGTCGAATGCTACCCATTATTAGATCTCTGATATGGTATTGAGCCATGTTATATAATTACGAACAAATAATAATTTAAAATTTGAAAATTAAATTTTAAACTATAAAAAGAAAACCAATTGAACCAGAAACCCTATAACAGTGTTGAAACTTAAAATATTTGTGGGCATGGTTGAAATTTACAGCAACGCTACAAACTAGTTATATATATTAGTATTAATTATCAAAATTTTTATTACAACTTTAAATAAGTGTTTTACGTGAAATTAAAGCAAATAATAGCATATAGTTTGCTTCTTTAGAATTTCGGGGCGCTTACAGTGGATAGTCCTCAGTTCGAATGCACATAGAAGAAGTGAACCTCTCACATTTCTGGGGTGGCAAAACACCGTTATTACTTCCGCCTCCGTTGTGTTGTGCTTCAATATTAGAACGAATGGGCAAAACTTGGCCTCGTTTTCGTTTCGTTGTTGTTGGTTTAGACCGACTGAGGTGCTTTTTATTGCTTGTAATGCGGTATCGTGGACCTGCAATAAGCTCTTCAGGTATGGGTAAAATTTCGGCCAATCCATTTACAATTGATTCATTATTGTTTTGTAGATTAACTTCGATTTCTTTTAAACTGGCAAAAGCAAGATTCTCAACTTCTTGATGCAACTTTGAATGTTGAAGTTGATTTTCAGTAAGTGTGCCATTTCCGATATCTAGATATTCAATACCGTTAGATCGATTCCTGCTGGTCAAAGAATCACTATCTTTTGCATTGATAAAGGCTGTGGTGTTCAGTTTTATCATATTTCGAGTAACCCGACCACCAATATCATCATCATCGATTGAAGGTAAATCTGAGCGAATTAATTTATGTGCAAACTCTGATGTTGTAGCCGTTCGTTTAGTTCGCTTTGGTAAATTCTTAATCGAATTAAAGGTACTAAATTGTTCGATTGGGGGCGAAGTTGTATTCAATACTTCTTGCAATTCCTCATTTATACTTTGCGGATCTAACATTTCTTCACCAGTTTCACTGAAAAATTCCTCTAATGATACTCCGTTATTATTTTGTCCACTAACGATAGATAAACCGTCCGTTTTCTCAATATGTTCTTCATCTAGTAATTCTGTTGTTGATACATCGTCCATGCGACGTTCTATATCTTGTGATTGGTTATTTGGTTTCGTCGAATCGAGATCCAAACTCAAATACTTTTGAGCTGAATTACGTACAAGATTTGCAATATCATACACAATTGGCAGTAACAGTTTCTTGTCATTTCCAAACATCGCACGTACCTTTCATAGTAATCAAAATAATAAAATTATTAGAAACAAGAAACTTAATAGGTACAATTTACCTGTTCTAACTTTAGGCCTTGGTCACCCTTTAAATTAATTTGTGCTGAAATTAACGCAGACAATGTTAATCGCTGTTGAGGAGATAATGCACGTAATATTGGCATAACTTCCACAAATTTTTGACGCAAGTGCTCGTTAGTTAATGCTTTTGAAAGTGCACTTCTCAAAACATGTTCTCTCAAATTAAAAGGGCGAATTTGGTTTTCTTCTTCCAAGTCGCCCATAGTTACAAAAGTTTGAATAAAGTTATCATCAGCAGCATTATTTACTTGATCTCTGATTTGCTCGCTGTTGTAATTCCATTCAATTTCCTTTAGGTCTACGAAATCGAAATCGGCCAAATCATCATCCGCTGTCATAACTAACCATAACAAACAAAAAAGAATGGCCCAAAATAATGTTTGGGGTTTTTCTCTTGTCTGCATATTCGTTAGGTTTTTGTACTATGAAGTGAATCTAAAAATTTAGTTGAAAATAATATAAAATTACACTGGTATCCCAATAAGAAAATTATTGTTCAAATTTTGTACAAAATTTTAAGCTTCTACTATCAGATGTAATCAAGTTATAACCAAAATTCAAATTTTGTTTCAATAAGAATGGTTTTTATTTAAATTGTTCTTTCCTTCTCCTGTGAACTTATGAAAAGTGTTGATACTTTATTTTACATTTAAGTTTATGATTCAAGGATTAAATGCGGGAGTATACATAATTAATCCAATACTCATTGCAAATGTACATTCGTTTAGCAAAAAACGTTAAACAGGGACTTATATAATATAAACCAGTGGATTTGGTTATTTATAGGGAAATTATTATCATTGAATAAAAGTAAAAGATACTCAATAAACATGTTATGTTACTAATGCACATATATACATATTTATGTTACAAAACCACAAACTCTCTGTAAAACACAAGAACACAAACGTTTTATCAGAAATTAACAAATATTGTATAACTATTGACTCATATTTTTTTCTCACTTTTAGGTACGTTTTTATATTGTCGAAAGTTTTCAGTTCGACTTTTATCCAAAGTACTCAAAAGAGGGGTGAGATTAAGATATTGCTGGTCAGTGAATTGTGTATTTTCTTCGCAATGTTTCACTATTGAATTTTCTTTAAGAGTGAGGTAATTAACGCTAAATACTGAAAAAATATCACGATGCAAAAGAATCTCTAATTCAGTCAATCAGTCAAAAAGCTGTAGTATTCTTTACGTATTCTAGGTGCTATATACCCTTTTCAAGTGTGAGGCAACTTTGTAGTTAAAAGCTAAATTAAATACATATTTTATCAACAGCTCCGATAGTGCAGCATTATGTTTTCCGCGAACAGACGAAAAATTTATTAGAAGACACATTTTGCAGTACCCTTGGGTTGATTGAATGGGAAAATTATTACAAGTACAATGTTGACAACAATGAAGCCCATAATCAGCCCACCAATAGTAAGCATTATTTCCAATAGTTCAGTGTCATTTCTATTGCAAAACTGTATACAAGTATATTGTATGAAAAACATTTTGTTTCATCTCCACGACGTACAAAAGCTCGTTTGACTATTTTATGGTTCAAGTATACTTGCTAATTGTACTCTGAGTTCAATGACTTTAAAGTGTGGAGAAAAGAAAAATAGTTTATGTAAATACATATAAAAAATTAATTGTCCAAAAATTTAAGCTCAAGTTATATTTAATAACTAGAATCCCCGACATATGTTTATTCACAATGTTTCCCACTTTTTGAATGTAAAATTACCGTTTAGAATAAATTTTTCTTGGCTCTTTTCCGATTTTCATCTAATTAAGATACAGACTTGGTGCATTAGCAAAGTGTTTTTACTGCGATGTTTAACTGAAACAACTAAAAAGCACATCTTTTTATAACAGCACAGTTTTTAAACATAAAATTACTGTTGAACATAGAATTAGTTGAAGAACCTGAACAAAATGTTTCCTATTGTTGCTCTTCGAATTTCGAGTAAAGTACATATTTCAATACATAGGTACATGTACATGTGAAATAAAAGATATGCCTAAATATTCATCCGGGACTAAACTCTAAATGAAGAACGCGTGTTAAAGAGAGTTCAAAAATAATAAGTGAATAAAAAGTTAAAAGCAACGTCTTCCAATAAACGTTCTACAATGCCAACATATACACGCCAACAACAATAATGTGTACAAAAAAGAAGTTACAACCGAAGAAGAAAAAGTTGACACAATTTTCTATTTGTTATGTATGTCTTTATACAGACATATGTATGCATGTATAAATATACATTCATATACAAGTCAATTCATACTGTTATGAAGGTGCACTACGGCAGTGGCAAAGTGGAACATAATACATTTAAACACAACAGTTTCAATCTTATATGCATAAATTAAGTTTTTACTAAAGAATCGAAGAAAGTTAAATTTTAGACTTTCCCTTCTAAAGTTTTAATCAATTTATGTAGCAATTTTCTTAATACATTTAATTTTCTAAGTACCTAGCTATAATGCCTACTTGTCCCTACAATAAACCTTTTCGGGTGCTGATATATGATGGAGAAATTATCAATGAGCTTTCTACGACTTTCCACAATTTTCTTTTATTCAAACTATAGGTGAACTTTTGTCTACAATTAGTTGTAAAATTTCAGTAAATAATTTTATGATGTTTTCATTTTAATAAACATATTTATTTACACTATGCACTTATTATTCCAGAAAACTGGTTTAATATTTATCCAAGAGTTGGCTAATGCGCTTTCCAAATGCCGGTCGTATCACGTTAAAACCATGTTAGCAACTGACTCTATTGATATATACTCAATACTAACATGGCTTCCAACTCCCAAATGTCAGCGATTGTGCTTATTGCTGCCGCTTCTGTTAAATATATTCCGTACAGTACATATATACACTCGTATTGTCAAAATTATAAATAGTAAATTTTACACCAAAATAAATTCTCAAAAATTGTAATTATTTAATTTCGCACAAAAAAGATCCATATGAGTTCAATTTTTATCCAACCATAATTATTTTTTAAAACTTTCAATTATTTCATACATGGTAAATATTTTTTTAAATCTATAGATATTATTTTAAAGTAAATCATTTCCACAGTTTCACAACTTTGTTTTATATGATTATTAATTCGTAAGAAAAATATTGTTTAAAATAACTAACAAGAAATAAAAAGTAAAGTAAGAATAGAAATCAATTAATTACCACTAAACTTTATTGCGATCGAGAAATATCACACATATTGATCGATACAAAAATCATTATAGTATGTATATGAGGGCTACGGAAAATTTAAACCGATTTTATTAATTTTTAGAACCAAATATAGAATACGTTTTTGTGAGCACCCTCATATATTCAGGCTTAACTATAGAAATTCAAAGATAATTATAAATATTTGTTTTACGTTTAAACTTAAACATAATAATAAAACATTTTATCTAAGGAATCAATAAGATTGTCACAGACAGAAACATGTTTTTATATGTATGTACATATTTGTGAATATTTTTGTTATACTCTTGCAAAATGTTTCTACAGAGTATCATAGTTTTGTTCAACCTAAAAGTTGTTTGTATCACCTAAAGCTAATCGAGATAGATCCGTCCGTCGTACCGTCCGTCTGTGCAAGCGGTAACTTGAGTAAAAATTGAGATATCGTAATGACACTTGGTACATGTGTTTCTTGGCAAAAAAGGGAGTACATAGATGGGCCTAATCGGACCACTACCACGCCCACAAAAGCCATTAAACGAAAATCTATAAAAGGCCATACCTAAGCACTAAATTAAGATATAAAACTGTAATTTGGTACAGAGGATCGTAGTAGCAAGGAACACTTGTGGTCTAAAACATTTGGAAAAAAGGGCGGGCCCCGCCCTTTAAGAGGTTTAATGTACATATCCCCTAAACAGTTTAAGCTATTATAACCAAATTTTCTACCGACACTGCAAAAATGGATGAAATCGGATGATAAGTCCGCCCACTCCCACATAAAGGTTTTGTTGAAAACTACTTAAAGCGCAATAAATCAATAAATGAATGCGCCATAAATATATTACACCCAAGAGGAGAAGGTTTTATAGGAGCCGCGGTCAAAATTTGACGGTGGTCGTGGCACCAACCACATTTGGGTGAAAATTCATGTCTCCGGACCTGCTCAACCGATTTCAACCAAATTCGATAGGTAACCTTATTCTGACATTCATGACCAATGAATGTATCAGGATAAAACTTTACACAAATACTACATTTGAAGTGTGCCAAAACCCTAATATAAGATTTTCAAACTTTGGTTGGGTTTTTACCGTATATATCGGTCAATATATAAGATAGCTTAACAAAATTAACTGAACGTATAATATTAGACATACTATAGTTTAATGCCGAAAATATGTGATATTGGACTACGAATTATCCAAACTATAGGTACATATGATGATTTTCGTTATTCTAACAAACCCTATGCTGAATATGTCGGTCAGTGTATGAGATATCTATATATGTAGGTATGTATATAAAAGAAAGTCGTGTTAGTTGCCCCATTTATAATTCAAGAACAGCTGAACCGATTTGGCTGAAAATTGGTGGCGAGGTAGCTTAGAACCAGAGGGCAAACATAGGATACTTTTTAATTATTTATGTTAAAGGTCAATACAATTCATACATACAAAAACTATATTTCCAGTCATAAGGATGTGTTCAACACATAAGAATCAGTTGAATATTTTATAACTTCAAAAAATAAATAATAATAATAATAATACTTAGCTAGTGCAAAAGTACAGAAATTTTCGTATACATATAGGTACATATGACTTATACTGATTGTTTCTAATGAACGAGGCGGTTTTTTTAAGACGCACCATGTGGAACCGTTAAGGCATTTTCAACATCATAACAGATAATCTTATTGATAGTTCCATCACCAAGGCATTGCGGCTACTTTGCTAGATTATGGGCGAACGACGCACAGGCATTCATAAAAAACAAAATGCAACTTCTAACATACAAAAATAGCGGAATAGCTGCAGTGTTGATAAAACATTCAACTATAATTTGAGATGAGTGCATATTGTATCACAAATATTCTCGAAGCATTGCACAGAACTTCAGAAGTGTTGAAATACTTCGATGAACCATAATTGCAAATTGACTCAACAACAAAAATATTGTATATTCCGAACAATTGATTAATTGCGAGTATATTCCTGAAAGTAAAAATTAATTGTTTGGATCATAACTGACTCTGTAATCAGGCTACATTGCTGCTAAACTTATAGATGTTGACGAAATTAGTTTTCAGATACAGCAGTTGCTACCAGGCTATCAGATGTATTTTAAACATTTGCTACTGTTGTTGATGAAAATGAAAACGTAACTTATCTCAATATACTTGGAATGACATCACATAGCGTTCGGTTGAACATTGTTCAACTATTATTACTCAGCGTAATTTCAATCCAACTCAATTATGCAACGATACACGTATGGTATTATAGCAACCACTTTGACTGGATAATTTAATAGAGATATATATAGAGACAGGAATACTGTCAGAAGGAACTGATCAAATGGAATTTGAAAATGTTTATAATTAAAAACTATAAATATTACTCTTCTTTATTATATCAAATGTTATCAACTAATAACTTTGAAAATTACTCATTTGTTACAAACTTGAATACAAAATTAATAAAATAAAAACATTAACATAATATATATTATGTTTATTTGTGCTTAATAACAAATCGAAGAAAATTAGTATCAATCATTTTCAAATTTGAAACTGATCCACTCTGATATTCTCACACCGGATATAACGTTTTCGTTTTTATTCATAAATACAGTTATATAAATATAAATTATAAACTATGCAATACAGTAAGCATAGTTTATAATTAATGTATACCTTATCTACAGCAACGCGTGGACGGAGTCCTCTATAACATTTATAAAATTACGTGAAAATATGTTCTTGAATGTACCTGAGCCAAGTCAAAAAATAGTGAAATCAGCCCAGATCTTTACCGCCCCCAATATACACTATATAATGATTTTCCACTTCCCACCCGTCATTTAACCGTTAGGTTGCTCATTTAATATTTTCGGTTGAGTTTATGTCAGATATATCTTATTTGAAGATGATTTTAATATAATATTCGCTGACGGAATTTGCTCCTTGTAAGTTGCATGAGTATAAAATGTTCGGTTACACCCGAACTTAGCCATTCCTTACTTGTTTTTAATTAATGTTTTATATCTTCTGCATATCTACAGTTTCGCAGAATATACCGTAAATGCAATTTCTCTGCTAACTGTTTCATGTTCATTCGCTATAAAAATTCATACACTCGTATGTATATACATAAGTAGAAGTCTTACTTAGTTAATAGCTAATATTCATGAAATCATGCAAAAATCAAAGTATGTACGAAAGAGTATATATCAAGCAGATATTGAAGCAACAAGTAAACTATAAGCCAAATTTGTAAAATCACTACGTTTATTTATCAGAATTGTCAATAAACCGCAAGTCTTTTAAATATTTTTTTAGGTATTAAGAATAATTTGAACATGAAAGTGGCGGAATAAATTATAAGTACATACGTAATCAGGAGATACGTTGCAACGGAACATAGTGAAACATTGGAACACACCGAACACCATAAAAAGGTATTTTAAGCGAAAAGCATTATTTTCATCTAATTTACTCAATTTTTTAGTTCGATCGTCGCTATGGCTTAGAAATTTACGAAATTTGAGCGTTCGATTTCTCGTTTAACATTAAAAACATTTCAGTATATATAAAAATTTATTTTAAAAATAAAACATAACAAACAATGATAGCTAAAAGTATTTTTCTAAATAGACACTGTGGATATGTAAAATAATGAATCCGATTAAAATCTTATATAAAAATTTGCCCATCATTCGTTGGAGCTTTGGTTCTGTTCAAAAAGGCATTTGACTACATGATAACTATTATAATTTAAAAAATATTTAAAGAAAAATGACATTAATTTGTACTGGTCAAATGTTTAATTAAGTAACATAAGAAAAATAGTTAGAATTTGACGTTATTTTAACAAATTTTTTTATAAGAAAACTACGAATTTTTAGTTAATTTTTTTTTATTAATATATTGTAGTATTTCAATTTGTTATAAAGGTTAATATTCTTGGATGTTAAAAATATGGTTTAGTATGATATATTTTATACATGGGATAAAAGGTATTGAAAATACCTCTGCGGCATATTTCTCTTTATTATTAGCTATAATATTCTAAAGAAACCATAATTTTTAAGAGACTAGAGAAAATCTAATTAAATGATCTTAGCTTATGCATGTGTGTTTATATACAATTAAATGTTTTTGAGATTACGAATACCGTTTACTTGTAAATAATCTTAATATATGTACATTTTATGGGGTTTTTTAAGTTTTTAACTATTATTTTTTACATTGATAACATTACACTATATTACACATATACTATGTTCCTATATACATAAGTATCAATTCCACTTTTAAATTCCTGTAAATGGGTATAATATAAATAATACTGCTGCTAGCACTTGTAGATATCAATAAATAAGAAAGCCATATCCACTGTTATTCAATGACTTCTAATTTTCATTAAACATATAAATATTCGAAAATTATTAAAAGATATGTTGAAAGTGGTAGGTTTCAGTCATGGTCATATTTCGCATTCAAACTCGGATATTCGTTGATTGAAATAAACCATGCCATGTTCAAGATCTTCACTAAATCCACTAACATCCATATAGTCCGATTCTGCTGAGTCGTCCTCAACCCATTTGTGGAGAGAACGAGATATTTCCTGTCTCGCATATGAAAACGACGGTCGTAAATGGGAATCCTTATGCCAACAACGAGTCATTAAATTGTAAAATTGTAAACGCGATTGCTTTGGCAGCTCTGGCCTTAGGCCATTCGGAACTCGTCGGATAACTTCGCGTCCTGTTAGATTGGCGTATGGCGTAGATCCTGAAAGATTGTACACATGTTTTAATTCAGATATATTATAGTAGTACTAATAACCATATATTCTATAAATCTCTTACCCAATGTGGATATTTCCCACAGTAATATACCAAAAGCCCATACGTCAGTCTCATGCGTAAAAATATGATATTGCAAAGCTTCTGGTGCCATCCATCGAATTGGTAATGCAGGCCTCCGACTCATCGAATCGTGAGCATGTCCATGACTGTGATCATGAACGTGGAATTTTTTTTCAATAGCATCTTTTGCTGGAATTTGGCTTGTATTGAAGTTATTGTTCCAATGGTGTATTATGAAACGGCTGCCGAAATCTAATTTCCTCTTCGTATTGCTACTTATTATTTTTTTAGCATTGTTGAGATCCACCTCTTTCTGCTTAGCTTCATCCTCCAAATCGATTGACATTCCAAAATCACAAATTTTACAAACACCATTATGATCAAGAAGAACGTTGCGTGCCGCAAGATCACGATGTACAATCTGTAATAAATTATATATTTGTAAGCTCCAGTCTTCAGTTAAAAATGTGTATTGTCACATTATTTACTCTTTTTTCAGCAATGTACTCCATTCCACAAGCAATGTCCAATGCAAAGCCACCTAGCGTTCGTGGCGACAAAGGTGTAGAACTGCGACCCCCAGGTACAGAGGCTGGTAAAATGTTTACAGCACTACGCGCAGCGCGCAGTAATGATAGCAATCGTCCACGCATTGCATACTCCATAATTAGCATGTGTGGCTCTAAAATAAATATTCATTTAACCCTGTTCTATTAGTAAAAAGTATTTGTATATATCATCTATATACCACTGCTTCGTGTCAATTCGGAGCTTATGGCCGAATATATACAAATATATTGCTATATAAAAGGGCTATATTTTGGGCTTAAAAACACTAACCAATTTCTAAGCACACGCCAAGCAGAGTCACAACGTTTTGATGTGAACCCAGTTTTCGCATAATGTCTGATTCTTCCTTCAAGCTAGATTGAGGACTGTATTTCCGGACCGTTTTAACGGCAACAATACGCGTAGCTCCAAAATGACCGCTAAGATTATCTGCCTCAGCTTTCCATACTTGACCAAAGTTGCCCTCACCTAGTAGACTCTTTAAGCGAATATTGCTACGATCAAATTCTTGATCACTAGTCACCGAGCATTGTTCATCATAACGGATGTCCTCATTTGTTTTCCGATGTGTAACTTTGTTAATTGTCATCGGCATATTATACGTTGAATGGTAATGTAAAGTATGGGCACTATGATGTTCGCTTTCATAGTTCTCCTTTTCGTCTTTGTTTTGAAACTTCGAATCAAGTTTCTTTACCGGACTAATAGGTAGTTGGTCACCAATGCACACATCGAAATCCTCCTGAATTTTAATAGTTCGACGAAATATGTATGATCGGACAAGATAAAGAGTAAGCGCACAAAGAGGTATTATTCCGATTCCAGCCAACACCATGGTGGCAATATTAACACGCCGCATATCTAAAGATACTTCAGTATCATTGGCGACGAAAGTATACTTTATATCTCCTCTATTTATATTAGATTGATCAAGTTGAGTCTGTTTTTCTATTGGCGCTGTTTCTATAACACCTATAAGAGAGGGTTGAAGATATTCATTTGAATTGGCAGAAGATGACTCTAATGGCAGGGATGGAGTTTCAGTTATTGGATTCTCATAGGAGTGCTCTGATTTCAACGTCGGCTGTAATATTGAACCTGGTTTGTCGCTGATCTCAATTTCGGCATTTGGTCGATTTCGAGAAGTCTGATTAAGAAAAATAACAATATTTTCATCATTTTTTATTTCTTGAGTGAGACTTGGCCCAAGAGCTCGAAGTTTCTCAATGTCCTCTTTAACAATAGCGCTTGAATTTGCAATATTTGCGGTTGATTTTACTGTTTCCTGACTACTAATTTCTTGTGGTACTCTTGAGCTCAGAAAATCAGGGTTTCTTATGCCTTCTTTAACAACTGTTCTGGGTCGAACAGTTGATGAAACTGTTGATAATTTTCTAATTGCAGGAGTGGTGATTTTTAAGACTAATTTATTTAGTACAGTTGTATTTCTGAGAAATGTTCTCATTGTAGCGTTGGTTAAATGACCGCGAAACGTAGTGGGGTACAGAATAATTGGAGAATCAGACACAACATTTTTAGTGAGTTCTGTGGTGGTCTGAATATGCCCAGTGGTTTCATTTGTCTCGTCCGAAACCGTTAATAATAATGGTGTAGTAGAAACAACTTCGGATGTAACGGATGGCTGTTTTGTTAATTGTAAAACACCCCTTTGGTCCGCATTATGCCCTTTATTTTCCTTAATGAAAGATGTTACAGTTTCGGAATTTAAAAAACTTCCACCTTTAGCTTCCATGGAGGTTAGTGCACTTGCATGCATAGGCGAACGTCTATAATTGTTATATCCTCGATCTCTGTATTTATATCGTGATCGGCTACGCTCAACTGCCGTTAACGTTGATGAGGAGACGAGTGAGGTAGGCGTAGTAGGTCCTAATTTATTAGCAGAAATCTCCAATAGCTTAGGAAGTCCTTCACTAACGGAAGTAATTGTCAATGTACCGGGCTTAATAGGTGGAAGTTTTTCACCGAAGTACAAGTATGGTTGGATATCATCATTCTCAATGGAACTAGAAGTTACGGTTACTGATGATAAATCCCTATTTTTAGACCGCACTTTCACATTTTTCATAATATCTTGTATATGATTTGAAGTATCATTTTGTCCCTTTGCAACAATAAATAGTCCGTGTGAAGATTCGTCCGTAAAGAGTATCTCATTGTTGTCTCGATCGGACGTCAGCGTAGCTGAACCGGTTAAAGATGATTCGTGAATGATAACCGTACCATTCTTTGTACGGGTTAAATTAGAGCACTTTCGCATACAACTAGTAGTCGTACGACGCGTAAAGTTCTTTGTACAGTTTTTTAAACAATCCGATCGAACATCACTTGGTGCTTTAGATGTAGTATCTAAGGATGAGGATTGTTCGGTGGTGCCAAGGCGTGTTCGTACACTTACACGGGGTAATGCATGACGACGAGCCTCCAGAACCATCATCAGCCTACGCTCTCTCTCCTGTGAGGATATATTTGCTGAAGCAGACAGCCGTGCTGGGCGATATGTTGTTGGAGTGATGCTCGACATTTCCGACAGAGCTATCGAATGATATGTAATGTAGAAAAAAAAAGAGAAATGTTTATCAAATTAATAAACACACAATTATACAAGTATATAATCAAAACAAAGTGGTGAGAATTTTAGAGCCAAATGTGGTATATATCGGTGAAATAGTGTATTAGCTGTCTTCGCTTCGCCAAACGGAGGAGAATAGCGAATCGAACAAACTATACGAGATGGTCAGCACTTCTGATGCAACCCTGCGCTAACCTGTCTACTGACGAATGCACAATTGTGCTATGATTCTTTTTTGGTGGAGAAATGCATTTTTCGTGTCATAAACCGTTGTAGTAACCCCTTTGTTTTGTTTTCTATAAACTATCATAATTTTAAGTTTTTAAAATCAAAGAAAAAAGGATCTTGGTATTTTCATTTCTTACATATTTGAGCCATTCAAAATAATAAAACTGATCTAAAATATGGTTATACCATTTTAATGAGGTTTCCACAGAATCTCTTGCACGAATTAAAATCGATAACTCTTTTGCTGCTTTTATATATAATTTTTGTGACAAGAGAGCTGCGCGCAAAGATAGAGAGCTGCGAAATGGCGAACCAAAGACAGTTATTGTATTAAATGTAACTCAGAAAAGGGCGATGCTTTCCACGATAAGCCTGCTGTCTCACTCTTATTGTTTAATATGACTTTATTTTTTAAACAGTTATCGCTTAGTTTTAGTTTATTCGAACTATTCGAGTTATAAGGGAGATAGACGTGGATTAAGCTATTTCAACAAAATGGTGTGAAAAGAACTTGTAAGTTAAATGCAAAAATGTTATTCAATTAATTGGAACTATACATTTATAAATACATTTTTTATCTGGAAAATAATATAACAAACATATTTGTTAAAGGGTCAATAGAATAAAATTTGGTAGCCCTTTTGTACTAACTAATAAAACAATTCTTAGAAAATCCTTTTTTAACCCTTCTGTGTAAGGCTTAGTGTTAATACATTACTTTCATGCACACCACCCTCCTACAGGTAACGTACACCATACAACTTCATAACTGTGATATATTATTTATCATATATATTTGATCTGATTGAAAATGTGTTACCATTTTATCGTTTTTAACTTTCTCTGACCAAAGTCAAAATATAAAATTAAATAGCTTACGACGATCGGCTTAAATTTTGGGTTTCTCCATTTATCAGATAATATGAACATGGTATGCATATACCACATGAAGGAGAAATTGTGTTAAACATCTAACCGAGGGGTAGGGACTATTCCTATAAAATCTAGAGTGACTCTTGCGCAACTTCGTTCTGGATACTGTACCAGGTTAAACTCCAACTTATCCAGAATCGACCCCGACATACCAAATATATATCCTGCATACAATGAGTATTCGCATGACACTAACCACCTCTTTGCATGCCCAACGAACCCCACTCATCTAACACCCATTTCCCTCTGGTCCGACCCCGTCGAAACAGCTCGTTTCATGGGCCTACCGTTAGATGACCCCGACGACAACAACAACAAATCATATATTTATACATATTATACTCATTTGTCGACGACATGAATATCATTCTATCTGTGTTTGCTTTACATTTTTTGTGGCAATAGTTTTGACTTTTCTTAAAGAAAATATTTTCACCGAAAATTAAACTGAATAGAACTAATAAATTTTGATTACACATCAGCACTAACCTTCAACCATGCTTAGCATATTTGCTGACATTTTCTCGTCGGTTTCAAGTTCAGTAGAATTTTGAAGTGGTACTATTGTCGACGATATCGATATATCTTTCCCGCTTTCCAATGCCAAATATCTATATTTAATGCTGCGCGGTTGTAACCGTTGATTAATTGTTCTACCGAGTTCAGCATCAGGAACCTTAACAACTTCCATAGGTACCGATTTTTGTTGCACTCCTTCATATTCACCAGTAAATATATCGCTTTTACCCCGCTGAGGAATAATTAAGTTTCTGCCATTGCTACAGCAAAAAATTGTGAACAAAAGGACTGCTACTATCAGCTCAATTGCACATGCGCGTTTTTGATTGTACATCATCACAGATTATCAACGTTCATTTATTATATTTCAGCTTTTTGTTTTGGTAGCGAGTAGATTTTTGCAGAAACGAACGCGTTAACAGCTTGTTTATTCCTATCTTTTTTTGATGTAAAAATAAAATGGTTCGAGCACCTATAACGTTGAAGCTTTCACATTTTGCCGATAATATCAAGCAAGATTGATTATCATTCAAAATTAATTATTTTAAAATAGACTTTTAATTTGATGGTGGTGGCAGAGAGTTTTTGATACATCGAAATCTGAAAAGAAATTAATTAAGGAAATTGTATTATTCACTACAAAATCTCCGTCCTTCCGCTAGAAGATCTTCCATGCTTTCTATAGGTCTTGTGGCTTTTTATAATTAAACTACGGTGACTACGGTGGAGATGTGGAGGTACGTTATCATGGTTTGAAATTCGGCGTCGAATCAGCCCAATATTTGGGCATAGTAAATTCTTGTGACGGTTTTTGTTATAGTATTTGTTATAGATTAACAATCTTTAAAAGTGACCATAGCCTTTCCTGTTTTTCTTTCTACGAAATCAGTTAAATCACGTTTTCTCTTCAAAAAACCACTCTTGTCGAAGCGTTTGTATTCTTCATCGGAAAAAAATCGAATCAACGACCGATATTTCCCTTCTATAATATTATATATTATAGCTATATTATACTATATATTAGAAAGGGTCTCTTGCGATAGTGGTGTTATCGACTGGTGAGGCTAAGTATTTATCGAACCGTAAATTACAAATCGTAAATGCCACAAAGAAAGAAGAGTGGCGGCAAATTTAGTTTAGTTATAGTGAAAATATTAAGATTTGCATAATTATTTATTTATACACACATACGCATCTGAATTTTATCTTTAGAGCCGTACTTATATCTAAATATTTAAAAAAATTTAAGAATGTGAAATTGAATATAAAAAATGGCTTCTTCACAAAATAGTTTGTTTTAGTACTAAAAAATAAATTACACAACAAGCGAATATAAATAATAATGCATACGTACATACATATATAAGTTGAAAGCTTTTAATTGCTGAATTTAATACTAACCAACAATTATAATTATTACTTAAACCAACGTTTTACCCCGCGTTGATAGGAATGTATTGTAATATAAGAGCTGCAACTCTAACGTGTTTCATTAGTATCTAAAATCGAACTCATATACTGCACGAGAGTAGGTTGCATATACATACATATGTACACATGTTAGTTCATATACATCATTTCGCATTTCAGTTTATTTTTCATTTATAATATTATTTTATTCGCTCTCAGTAAGTAAATATATTTATATATATAGGTAAATATATACACCTATAGATTTGACAAAATTTCAATTTATGGGAATTTACAGGATATGTAACATTTATTTTCACATTCGCAATTTGATACACACTATATATATTATATATCTGAATATAAGTAGTTATTTACGATTCCTTTTATTAGAGCATTCGGTGATGTATTTTGTAAGCTCACATACATATGTAAGGGCATAATAAGCAAAAGCTCAGCTTAATACGTAGTTTGAAAACGAAAACTGAAATTCACAAACACTAACATACTTGAACATTATCTGTATATGTACATACTTGTATACATAGATAAATACATAACATACATGCAAATTAATTCATTTAAATGGAACTTGTGCTGGGTCCCACCTGTTGAATAACAAGGCAAAATTAGCGTTGTAATTTACAATACTGGAAATATTTCAGCATTTCAAAAACTTTTTTTCACTCTTCTGCTAAAGGAAATTACTTTATATTTAAATTTTATTTGCTCTGCCAGCAAAATTGCACTTGGTAATTCCTTTTGGTAACTGTTATTATTATATTTTTATTTTCAGTGTACCAATTGGCAAATCAACATGTTTATATATAATTTATACGTTTAAGCTGACTTCAACCTGGAGTTGCTTCGCGTTAACTGAACTAAAAGTTAAAGCTTCGTTTGGCTGAGAAACGAAAAACCTAGTTATAACAAAATGGCGGCTAAGAGCTATTTTTCGATTAAGCTTTTGCCTTTAATATCTAGTATAACAAATGCTTAATGTATGAATATGCTTGGGCAAGCTAACTTCGAATGCTGCACAACCTGTTCTATTACAATACTAAATTATATTTGTAGCAGTTAACAATTTCTTCTCAATATGAACATTAAATAAAGTCTGTTCTGTATTACTGTTTTTTTATTTCTGTGCGAAATTTATAATTTAACATGTCTAAAGGTACAAAGTAATTAAATTATTTAAATCTGTTTACACAACATCAATGATAACAATATTTCTGAACTCTCTATTACGGAGGATATATAATATAATAAATATAAAACAATAATATTTTTATTTCCTTTGTTTTTTTTTGCCACAACACTTTGTATTATAAGTTCTTGAAGATTTATTTTGTTCAATGTCTGAAATATTATATATTATATATAAAGTACGTAAGTTATTAAAAAAAGTTCTTGAAGATTTATTTTGTTCAATGTCTGAAATATATTATATATAAAGTACGTAAGTTAATAAAACAATATAATAACTAACAACTTAACTAACATCTACATATAATAGTGCAACTATTGTTACCATTCTAAACTAGTCTCGATCAGTTGTCTACACTATTTGAATTTTGGAGTTTGAATAAATTGAATATTTTTACATAAAATATCTATACATAATTTTTTAATCACGACCACAAGTTACTGTAGCTATGGCATACATATTACAATAAACTATTCAATATAGTGAAAATATTATTTACGAATACAGACGAAAACGATATTGCCGGTATAAGAATCTAAGCGATTGTACTTGATGTATAATTTAGAAAATGATTCATACATATATTTGTCAATTGAAGAAATAACGAATTTCCAATTGAACCTAAACGATGCTTTCTTACAAATTGATAACAAGTAAATAATTTTTCAGATTCTTAAAAATTGCTAATATTAATTAACTTGAAAAACTAAGTCAGCGCGTTACTTCCATGGGATACAACCATGCACAAGGGGTTTTCAATTGAGGACTTATATCCTATTAAAATATTGCTTAATTTGAGAAACACTAACACATTTAGGGCTTGTTAATATATAATAATATATATTATATACATATAAACGCAAATTCATACATCTTTAAATTATAATCCATTAATAAAAAAAATCGTTAAAATAAATTATGTGGCACTGCGCCTCCTTTACCCTCCTTGTCTGCGATCGTTGCCTGTTTCTGCATAAAACCAAAAGTGAAGAACTTGGAACATTGTCTGTGCGGAGCAAGGTAAAGTAAGCATCAGTGTAAATGCATTTATACATTCATAAACACATACACATGTATGTGCTTATCATATTTGGGTTCCTATGAATGCATTTCCACAAATATATTAATAGTTAATTACAATGCTATTGAAATACATAAGTATTCGAGCTGAAATTCGCTAAACTTGCTCCTAATAAATAAAAGGAAAAATTATATACATACAGTATAAGTATTACCATTTTAACTCCTTCGTGCTTACCACCTTTATTTATTTTATCTCTGGTGGGAACGCGACCGTTTAAGTAACTGTTTTATTATTATCCTTTGCTCAATAAGCATATTGCCTACACAACGCACATAAAGTGATGAAAGCTTTGTCCAATAAATGTTTATTTTATAATAAAGGAGTTTTTACCAATATTCTGAATATATAAATTTTTGGCATACCATAGAAATTGTAGACACAAATCTAAATAAGCATGCATTTATAGCCTCTTTCCCCGTTTCCGTCATTGCGTGCAGTGTTGCTACTTGAGAACATCTTTGGGCATGAAAATTGCTACCAAATCTGTTACAAAACTACCAATTGTCTTATCATCAACTTTGGCTTATATCCATTCTTTTCTTCAAGTCTCTTCAATCATTCAATATTTTTAACCAATCCCTACGAAATTTCCGCTTTGAAGGTCACTTCAAAAAATTGTCAAGTTGCCAAGAACTATCTGAGTGGTCGGAAATCATCCGTACTGTTTCGGTCAAAATTCTAAGTTAAGAAAAATTAAACAGGGGGTTCCGCAGGGTAGTGTCCTCCTCCTGCTACTGTTAAACATCAATATTTCAAGACTCCCTCCACCACCAAACGGAATTTCCGTCACCTCATCTGTAGATGATTGTGTGATATTGTCGTCAGGCAATGAAATCGATGGCATGTGCTCGAAAGTAGCCTGACACTCTGACCCAAAATAGGTTGGTTCATTAATGAAATAAAAGAAGGAGTAAGACAGTATCTTAATATAATATTACAGTCAATGGCGTTAAAATTCTGACTGACTCTTTAAGACTTCAGGCGTTACATTTGATAGTCTGTGCTCCTTCAATCCACATACAACCTATGCGGGGATTAGATAACCGTGTCGTAAAAGTTTAAGTTTTCATTTACCCAACGTCGATCTCAATTTATTCGCTTACTGTGGAAGTTTTAGGTATTTTATTGTTATACATAAAAACCAGTTGAAAGTATATTATGAACGACCATTTAACGTAAAACTTAAGTTTTTTTTGTTTTCGATGTTCTCTCTCGTGAAAACTACAAATTAGTGCCAAGAATGATAGAATACATTCTAATACGAGAAGGAACATGCAGAATACCTTCTATCATTATTGATTAGTACTAATTACCATTTTCCCCTTTCAATTCATTAACATTCTCTGATTCTACGATCTCTGCCTTTGAAATGGGCAGCCATCTAGCGACTAATGCTGGAAACAGTTACCGACGCTAAGCCGTAACCCGAATCAGCTGATACGGCCTATCCTATATGAGCGCAAAGTAAATCAGAGATAAATGAACACTCACCACCGCTCCTACAGACCGTACGGTAGGATATCCGCGCAAATTGGATTTTTCCCAAAGAAACGAGTCAGCTGATTGCTCCTTGCAACGCAGGGCTGCCAGTCTCGATATTTTGTTGACATTAAAAAATAAACTTGAATATATTTGAAATATTCTTAAGCTAACTAAAAGTCATAGTCGAATACATATATTTATAAATAGGTAGACTATTCTTAATAGTTGGATTTTAGTTTTGAGTTTTGACATAATGAAAAATTATAATTAAATAGCTGGATGTGTGCAAAATCAGGTATACAAATTGACTAATGGCAAGATTGGTGAAATGAAAACAAAAGAGAATAACCGATTTCTACGTTACCACTACGGGCATAAGTTTTGATAAATTTCGTTTGATACGGATGATAAGTACGCAAGGGCGGAATGTCGGTCAGTAACTGAAGCATAATGTTCTGAACACAAAGACGACTACACGGCAGCGAAATTTTCTGGTGTTCGAATGTCGTCTTGAAGCCAGCTTCTTTAATATTTTGAAGTTGGTAGTGACATATCAAACAGCTGATGTACACAATTTCGTTGTGGCCGTACCTTTTCAATGACATTTAAATATTTTTTTGTTCAAAGTAAAATTTTAATTTTAATTATTAATTGTTATTACAAATAATATATCCGTGCTATTTTATGTTTTTATTGGTAATATAAGAGAGAGATTTGTTAGAGCTTTGAATAATTTTACATTTCACATATTAGTGAACGAGCTTAAAACGAAATATATATAATCCATAAACTTAACTTGAATGTATATTGTTCTTATAATGTGCTATTAGTAGTTATGCAAAATCTATTGTAAGTATTGTATATATGACTTTTTGTAGCCTGGCAATATTTTGAAATAGAAGAAAATGTATACACCCTTGGTAAACAAATGGTCTGGCAATATCGCTAATAGCAGAAAATGTCCATTAACATTCTCTGGTAAAGTGTACACAAAATATGTATGGAATCAGAAAACATTGATGGACAATATAAATCAAGTCTTTCGTGTTATTGGTTGATGAAAGTTTTGATTAGAACTATATTTTAAACGTATAATTTGTTTATGAGTATTAATAAAAAGTGGATGCTATATTGATGTGAATGTAAGCGAAGGAAGATAACACCATCTTGTGAATATTGTAGGATGGACGCTACACCCCGTGTGCCACGAATTTAGTGGATTTTAAGCCACCTTCTGCAAGGAAGATACCATCAAGATCTTTTTAGTACGATTTAAAAATAATAAGCTTAAATATGTACTTATATACATCTTTATAAAGATGAATATACACAATGCGTCAGTTACCAAGGCGTCGAATATCTAAATCATTGTGGAAGCTGTAAAAATATACTTATACGTGTTTAGAAAATGGCCAACAGTGAAGTTAGTGTAAACAATCTATGGCTATTGCATTAATAGGGGCATACATACGTATGCAAGCAAAATATTTTATTATTTGAAGCAAACAATAGAAGTTTGGTATACATAACGCGCGTGTATTTACATATGTGGAATGGCAAAGTAAAGAAATAGAAATACAGAAAGTTAGAGTTGTTATTATTCGGAATGATTCTAAATGTGTTTGAAACAAAAATTAATACTAATTTCTGAGCAGCCAAAAGTTGTACAAATTTATATTACCTCACAATTCAAATTAAAAACAAATTTAAATATATCATTGAGTTCTCAATACCCTTTACATGCTCAGGATTTGTCGTGCGGGTATAAGAGTGAGGAAGAAAACTAGCATGCTGCACTGGTAAACTTATTTTTCCTGCTGGCTTTGTTCAGATTTATGCATGTTGCGTTAGCATAGCATGAAGCTTGCGATAATATAACTCCAGTGGATCTGTTATAAATATATGTTAGAAATATATCCATCAACATCAGTTAAACAAAATATAGAAGGATTTCTTAAAGATATGTGTTAAGCTTGCTTCAATAGGAACCGAAAAATAAACTCGAATATAAGCAATAGGAAATTTAATTGATTATGTCGAGTTTTATGAGCGAAAGTGGAACTTCTGCAGAATTACAACTTAGTAGCAGAGTTGTGGCTGTAGTATCTGCAACATCGGCGGCAGCAGTGGCTGCAACTGCATTTGTCGGGAGTTCAAATCAAATGAATTCGGAAAACTCAATTATGCAACGGGACATGTCCGAGACACTTGCAATTAGCTGTTGTGACGACATGGTTAGTAAAAATTCTGCGATCGAAGAAGAGAACCGCATTAGCGATACCAGGGGCAACATAAATCTATCATTAATGCAAAACTCGCCTCCACCCCATAGTTACCGTCATTCGCGTGCCTATCGTCATTTTAAAAATCCACCACAACCACATATGTGTATCCGCACAACCTCAGAATCAGGTGAAGAACTATTTATTAATGTACTTAGTTGGACGAGAATAGTAATACCGCAAGAGCCTACCGATCCTATACCATTGTACGGAGGAATGAGGGTACTATTGCAAAAATTAAAAAAAAAAGAGTAAATATTGATTATTTTTATTTATAGGTGCCTCCAGGTAGTCCTCGAAGCCCGCCAATTGTTTTTGCTGTTATGGCAAATCCAGAAGTTTTAAAAGATTCTGGACGTCATAGCAAAGACCCAGAGGAGCGCCGAGCTATGGTGGAATTAATGTGTGACTTTGTAGAAGCAATGAATCCTGGTCTTAAATTAGTAAGGTATGATATTGTTCCATCTACGAAATTACATTAAGCAAAATTAAAGAGTAAAATGCTATAATTAAGCCAAAAATTAAAGTACAAAACTGTATTTTAGTACAGAGAACAACAGTAAGGAATGGCACTAAGTATAAATACAACGTTATTATAGTTGTAAGAATCCAAATGATTGTTATATTTGAAAATCATTAATAAAAGGCGGAAAATTAATTTACAAAATCTAAACCTAAAATTGATATTGTTGAATTTGAGACTTATTTATAGACTCGCAGAAAGTTATACCAATGGGAAACAGTATTCTCTTACGATGTCATTAAAACAGAGAACTTAGAAGAACGTTCTCCATTTACTTTCTCTGATTGAAATACGCTGCAACAGAACGTTTTTTCATTCGACTTTCCAGTCAAAATGATGGCTTTAGGAATATTTTGAGGGATCTTTTTGATGAACAAACGTTATTTCTTGCATTTATCTGTGCAATGCTTTGACGGAATATTTGTCACTTTCGTAACGCTTCCGCTATTTCTATTTTTTTAATGTTATATATTACGTTTTTTTTGTTATGAATGTTTAATGATAACTTGAATGCTGTGGTAGCCGCAATGCTTGATGATACAACTGCCGACGCGATTTTCTATTTTTGCGTACATTTTGTAGTATTTATAAGGATCTGGCAGATAATTATAATCCTTTGGCATATATTAAACAAATAATATCCAATAAAAAAATTTCGCGTGTATAAATTGAGATATAAACAATCCTATCTTTTAAGTGGTTTAATCCCCATAGTGTGCGAAATTTTATCAAAATCGGCTCAGTAGTTTATCGCGAACAAACAACGTGATACGTATTTTTATATATAAAGGTAATACATAATTAACGCTTAGCCTTTCCTAGTTTTAAGTCTACTCCCGTTGGCTGATTAATTTTAAGCAGAGAATAATTGAAGTCAATGATTTCATATCTTTGAGGCATAAATCCCTAACTCAATGATCAGAAGTTTTCAGTATTACATTTGATGATATCATTCTGAATTTTGTTGCAATGGTTTTAAAATTACTTGCATTTTGGTGTACTAAATATAGCAGTATAAAAAATTTGCTTAGATTTATAATTCATATGACTGATGTGAACTTTATGTTAAGAATAAATATAAAATAATTTTAGTTTATCTTATTTTAGGAACGCCATTATTCTAAAGGATAGGGATATATCTGGAGAACTAAAAGATGTCTGGAGTGCAGTGCAAGCTCAAAGAGATCGAGAACGGGAGGAACAAATTATACAACAACGACAGCAGCATCACTTTCACAGCATCACCACTCAACAGATGTTTCCAAAGTCTACTGAAGCTGTTCGAATCTCCGAACAGAAACAAATCAATTCAATATGTACAGAAAAATCGGATAAACTTTCGCTTAGCAGTTTATCTGAGAAATCCTTAAATAGAGATTTTTCTGTGCAGTCAGATAGCACAAATACATCTGCGACAGGAGATTACACCGTATATATAAAGGACACTGTAAAATTAAAACAATCTCGAGAAACTTATGAAATATGTGCTAATATTTCAAGTGGCGGTGATGATGGGATTACTACTTTAAGTGACGGAAAGGATCAAACAGATGCCACTAATAAATTATCTGCCAAAACCGATACTTGCGATATTAGAGAAGTATCTGTAAAAAGTCTTTCTAGCTCTAAACTTATAATCGGAGAAGAAAGAAATAAAAGTAAAGGTGTTGAACATATTGATAGTCCTTCGCCTTTATCATCTAGCACAGTACTCAAAATAGAAACTTCCGCTACAAATAACGTAGGTACAAGTTCAGGACTTACAACTTCCAATCATATAAAAACTAACCCAATGGTTTCCGCCGCGGTATCCGCATCAACCATTACTAAAAAAGATAAATTAGTTGGGTTTTTACCTAACGGATGCATATTCCCACGTTTCAAGAATTATAAAAACAAAGATAAAGATAAAGAAACCAAATCGAAAGATAAAGATAAAACTTTACTCAATGCTTTGAAAAAAAGCAAAGACAAAAAAGTCGCAAGTGTTGAAAATTGTGAGAAATCTTCTGTGGATTTTGATCCAAAGATAAATTACGAAAAAAACTGTATTAGTTTAGAAAATGAGATACAAAACTTAGATCTCAATAAAATCGAAACAACTGCAAGTGGTGACAACATGTATGCTAAGCTGAAAATCGCTGCTACTTCGGCGTCAGCAAAATAGATAGGTATATTCTCCTGTATTATTTTATTGCTAAATGCACATATATATATTATGCACATACATATATACTCATTAAATAAGATATGTTTAACAAGTCCGATGACCTGTTTTGTAGGGGACTTTAATGTTAAAACGAAATATTAGCCCTTACTAATACAAGTTTCGTTTCAATACTAAATTATCAATTTATTCTGATAAGTTTTTATTTTATATGATTATAAAATGAAATAATTTGTTTACATGTGTATTAATTTTTACATATAAAATCTTAACCCTAAATGTAACTAACACTTGCAATTTTGTATGTACGTTTGTTAATTAGGTCCTTTGTACATAAGTAGAATTTTGGATTGGTTTTTGAAATTCAATTCATTTCCAAAGTATTACAAAATTAGTTTTAGATGTAATTTAACAATCAATGATATATAACGAAGTTGATTATTTATTTATGTTTTTAAAATTAATGGGTTTTTAAAAAATGTATTAAAAGCAGTAATGTTAACTGCTGTTTACTTCTGCAGTAAGTTAGTTAAGGGGCACATCTAGTATGAAATTTCAAAAGGAGGATGAAAGTTTAAAATTTTTTATTCTTGCATCTATCGATAATCTATAACTTCAAAAATAACACACCAAAATTTTTGGTGAATACTAAATGTATTGTTACAGCCTTTTAAAGTGTAGCCATCAATAGTCAATGTAAGCAATCAGTTTATTATTAAACGCGTTTTTTTCGAAACAGCATTTTTCGAATTTGCTGCATTTATTACTCGGAGACAATAGATCCGATCACATAAAATTTTTTCCTCTTCTGTTTATAGTTCTCCATCAACAAAATTCAACTTAAGAAAAAACAAAAAAGCCTGATATATTCTCATTTTTCTTTTAGGTTTCATCCACAGAGGTAGACTAGTGTAGAAACCTCTTAAATTGATAACAAAAAAAAAGAAATTCATAGTAGGTTGAAACCTATCGGAAACGAAACATAAATTAATAAACATTAAGGGAAAAATAATTGTCGGGCGATCTGAGATTGCGAAAAGAAAGGGGAGGGGCATGGTTGAAGTTTTAAGGGCTAAAAACAGTTTATATCGATTTCCGGCAAAACTACGAGTCCCATAAAAAAAATGGCTATATGGCAATGTTGTAGGTAATTAAAAGAGCTATAAATTTTGTCTTTAGACTTTTTTCACATAACCTCAACATTTATGTGAAAAATTCAAATTACCAAGCTTTTGGGGTTTTCATTTTAATGAAAAGATCTATAAATTTTGTATATGGACTTTTTCCACATAACCTCAAAATTTATGTGAAAAATTCAAATAACCAAGTTTTTGGGTTTTTTATTTTAATCTTGTATAAAAAAAACTTACCTTTTGTCCCAAATACACTTTTTCTAATAAAAAATATTTATTATTATATTAACCTAATATCAAAAAAACCCCGTAATTTTCAATAAAAAAACTCAAGTCAAAATTTCAAATTTTTTTAAAATGTTAGTAAGCAATCATAAAAAAATCTCTTCTTTCTGATGGTAATAAAAAATAAAATAAATTTTCTCAGAAAACGCAATAAAAGACCCAACTAAATTCATTAAATATGTATAAATATACCCTTAAAATTAACAACAATTAATATTAACAATTATATTTAATCCTCACAACTCGCCATTTTAGTGTACTAAGTTTACTAAGTGTGCCCCTTAATTATTTTAAATGTTTCTGAAAAAATACACAGTGACCATAACTAGCCGCTTTTGCATTTTTTGTTACATTCAGTATAACATTTTACAATTAAAAAATCTTAAATGGATATTTATATACCTATAATATGAAAAGGTAAACAGAACTATTATGTTGTACGTGTTTAACTATACTGTGCAACTATATGCAAAAAAATATGAACTGATTTTAAGATCTAAATTTTAAATGAGAACAGTAAGACTCCTATAAAATGGTGATTATATTCATTGAAACTAAGACGATTAACGATACCTCGAAATAAATTCAAATGGATATGGATGGATTGGTGTTTTTTAGTTTTTTTTTCCCCAAATGTGGGTATTTTCATTAAAATAATAATTATCATGTTTGCAAGTTTTACAGCCAATTTCCCATTCAGCATTACATTTATTACACAAATATCACAGCTTGTAAACTTCTTAAAGCTTTTTACAGTAACAAACAGCTTTTAAGTAGTTTAAAACTTGCCGTTGTATGTAATTACATTATTAGTACGATAAAAAAATGTAAAATATTGTAACCGAGCGGAATTTTAGTATACTACTTTGTATGACGAAGAAGAATCACAATTTGTTCAAAAAATTGTTGGATATAATTAAAATATCCTTTTCTATATGCATATATACATATGACCTCAGGCTAAGTATTCAGCAAATTATGTGTACTCGTACACCATATGTACTTGCGGGAACATTATAGTGAAACCGAAATACATGTACATATGTAGGCTTTTGCTTAGAAGCCGGAACCACTTTGCCGATGAAAATTATTTGTTTGTAAAATTATAGAATATACATTTAATTACATTAGAGTTTTGGTGCCCTATTATACTGCCCTGGTATAGAATAGATACCTATATATACATATATCTATCATTACTGCCGTGAGGAGAATGTGACTGTTATGTTTAATTATTTATATAAGTTTGCTTGAAACTTAAAAAAATTATATGTGTATACACATGTACAAGATAAATGCAAATAGTCTACTTTTGTTTTAATATAAATGATAAACCTACGCATTACTATTCAATTGTGATTTTTTAATTTAAATATTTCTCAAAATCTTCTAATTGTTTAATCTATTTTATTTAACTAAATACAAAAAAACATATAATTGAAAAATGTAAAGTTATAAAATAGTTAAATTAAAATACTTAATAAGTTATTATACCCAACGAAAGATGTTGGATAGCTGTAAGTGTGAATGATTAAGATAATTATAATTTATTATAATGTTATAAGGATGTAAAGTAAACAACCATACAAACGATAAGATATACAATGTAAAACAGCAATATATAATTTTGTAAGTTTGTAACTTTATATACAAATTGAAATATACATAATAAAGAAACTTGACTTTTATATTTTCAAATATAAATAATAGCAAACAAACATTAAACTTGCCAATTGAATATACCAACATAAATGCAATATATTTCTCTTTTCATTATAAATTATATATTAAATATTTGTATCAACCTCCTGGTCCATTCAATGACATACCTGTACTATAAAATATTAAGTTGTATTATGGGTATACATTAATGCCTTTTAGTTGGGCGTTCTTTAATGGGTACACAATACTCCTATTTTGAATACCATTTAATCCTTAATTCGGATATAATTAGAAAGAAGAAAATATTATATTATGCCACCTGAAAAGAGATTATTTCATTTACACTTCAATTACTTCATTAGCTTTGTTCATATGTACCATATATCAAAAACTAAAGGTGATTTTTTATATAAGTTATATTTTCCTCAAAAGCAACTATGGATACATGGAAAGCCATAAGGTATTTGTTTTATTATGTTAAAATAATATTTAAGTTCGTTTAACCTTATCGTGATACATTTTTCTATTAGAAGTTAATTCCAGAAATACGTATATTCATATCTGGCTGTTTTATGTAAGCTCTTTCAAGTTTCAAGTGCTTTGCTAAAATACAGTTTAACACAAGTATACACCACTTGTACTTCTTGTTTCTGAGAGAGAAGTCAGTATGAAAGATATCTCAGTAAATTTTTAGGAATATTTTTTACGGGTGTAAAATCTGATGCCTTTGTATTCCTAGTAAAACCGTCAAAAGTGCGAAGTGGATCTGCTATAGTTGCAATATTAAGATTGTAAAATACCGATATCTGGTTTTTCGAAAGCAAAAAAATCTAATATATTGTAAATTGTACGTACATGATAAAATTTTACAAAATTAAATTAAAAAGTGCGTAAATGTGTGTGCAATTTTCTTTAATAAACGACATATATTATTGTCTTTATTAAATTAACATTGGTACCGAAAGCAGATTTCAATTGAATAATTTTTTTCCTCAATTGATGGAGCAACTGGATATGAATTGTTACTACAATATAAACATTTCTTTGAAATTAACATTTATACTCTGGCAACATGTTGCTACAGAGTATAATAGTTTTTTTTTATTAAATTTTATGTTCGAAACATTTTGGTTGCTTCAACACTTTCGAAGAGATTATATTTTACATGGTATTTATGAATAATAACCAATGGTAGATGTATGACTTCTGAGAAACATTTTTATGAGGGCATTATTCTTTTCTTTTCTTATTATTACTGTATTAATAACGAAACGTAATTCACAACTACCTATATTAAAAAAAAAATGAGGTTCTCACTTGTGTTTAGTATAGCGTTTTAATTGTACATACTTTTAAAACCAACTAAATGTATGATTGATATAAAAAACAATCGATTGAATCGATTGTATTTGAAAAAAACTTTATTATATTTTACTCATTATTCTTATAATCCGCTCGGAGATGCTCCAACTCCTCGCGTTCTTTCTTGTTGCGCAATAACGGTACATTATAGTCAAAAGCGTAGAAGAAACCTCGAGGAGGACCAGTTTCCTCAGGTCCAGGAACATAAGGTGGTTCTTGGTGAACATATTCCTTGTATTCCGATTCAGCAGGCTCATTGCGTTGCTGTTGATATTCAGGGGCAAATGGATCAGGGTTATTGCCGTTGGCAGCTGCTAATTCACCCCACAGTTTAAAATGCTCTTCCTCTGCTTTGCGAACTGCTGGCGTTTTGGTGGCAGGCTCCTTCAAATGAGCTGGTCGGTTATCTTCGACATGAAATCCTGTACGATCCGCGTAGTATTTGGCCACAAAATCTCGACCAGTAGGTTGAACATACTTATATGAACCACTCACTGTACCTGAGTCGTCCTTCTTTTCATTCTTGCCCTGATTCCAATCACGATAACCATACACATATTGACCTAATCCGTCCTGTCCATGATATTGGTGAGCGTCATAATGCTCTTCCACGTATTCCTCAGGGTGATCTATTAAACGACCCATATATACGAACTCACCTTTTTCATTGCGCGATTCTGGAAGTTCATTTTCACTTGTCTTAGGAGCATAGTCAATATTGTCTAGACCTCGAAGATTTGCACTGTTCAGAAATTGTTGGGCTTCCTCTGGTGAAATATTAATCTTGAAGATATTTTCAGCAAGAAGCGGACTTGCTAGAGCCTTGAAAAAAAATGTAAAAGAAATAAAAGTTTACTTAGTATATAATTGAAAAATTCGCATTTGTGAAATAATTACATCATGCTCTAAAAATATACATATGTTATAATACGCATGTGTACAGAAGAGAACACTCTTCTCGTTGTTTTACCAAAGCGTTTCTACTACTCCTGTATTACTATGCTACGAGATCTGGAGTTATCAAAATTGCTTCAATGAGAATGTTAGATATGGTATGTAACAATGGACTTTGTAAAATTTATTCGAAGCTTAGCGAGCTTACTTGTAGTGTATAACATTATGATTAACATTGATTATTACAAAAATTTAATATACTTGTACTTACCAACAAGAAAACGGGAAAGATTCTTAATTTCATCTTGTTATTTTCTGCGTGAATCTATTTAAATATATATAATAAAATACTTAACGTATTGTCTTTATTACTTTACACAACTGTAGTTATTTCGAGAATAGTGTGAAATCTCAAAATTGATCGCGTCTTATATTGAAGATAAGCAAATTGAGATAAAACGTAAAAACCTTTTACAAATTCTATAGAACTCACAAAATGTGAATATGCAAAAAACTTGTTTTAAATGAAGATTCTCCCAGCTAATCAGACAGCATCATCTCCGTCTCATCCGTCGACAGTGTCAAAATTTCAAGAGAATAATGCCGGTTTCTTGCTCAGACACAAATTCTAATATTTCGTTAATATAAACAACTCGCCGTTGATAAATATGTACATTTGTATACATATATATAATTATATCTGACCTCTCATCTAGTGATCAAAGCTACTTCCATTGGACTTTTATGCACTCGTCTACGCAATTCGAGCGGTTACAAAAACTACATACAATTGTATCTTACTGTATATTTCATACAAATAATAAAAAATAATTATTATTTATTTTCATGTGTACTATATTGTTTAATATTAATTACCTATGTATATATTTGAGATTCTAATAATGTTTATTTTTCGTTTAAATCTTTATAGTTTTGCGGTATTTTCTTGATTAATTAATTGTCTCCTGTGTGACGGAAGTAAGAACCAATGATGAGTATAATTGTGTTTGAATTTAAATTAAAATAGTCATTTATTACTACAAACATTCGAGCATTATTAGTATTAGATTGAAAATCTCTAACCAGGAATTCACACCTTAACGCAATTCAAATAATTATTATAAAAGACATTAAATTTATAAAATAATATTATTTGCATACTTATTTAATTTACATTTGCAAACTTTAAAGGAATTTCCCATTTCATTCATTACAAATAGAGAATTCGCGCCAAAAATAGAATTTTAATTTTTAGTTACTCAGTGATGAGTAATGTATGCTAATACATGTATATCGTCATCTAATATAAAAAAACGTAACATCACACATAAGTTTTCATAAGTTTACAGGAGAAGAAAAAATTATATAAATTAAAATGCTTTTTATTGAAAAAAAAATGTTAATTTTGATATTAAATTGGTTATATCTGAACTGAGCGGAAACTTACAACTTTGTACATACATATGTATATAATATAATGTAGGCAATCGTAATTGATAAAAACCACATTTTCGATTTTTTTGATTATTCGTTGTTTTGCATTTTAGGTGACTATAAGTTACTCAGCTCAAATAGGGAAAACCTCACTGCTAATAATAATATACATTCATCTCTTTGAATTGAGTCAAAACAAGTTTTGTCGACTTATAATTCTTTGATTTGCACATACACTAGCGTTCGAAACTAAAGCAGCTTATTCTACTAAATAGTTAAATCCGTATAGGGCTATTTAAAAAAACTAATTTTAATTCATTTAATGGTGTAACTATTAGAACAGGTAATATATCCTCAGATATATCCAAGTAAGTTACCATACGAAGTACAAAAAATTGCGTATGTTTCAAAAATTACAATACTAAGCTGGATTTGTTGCTGTATTTTTTATTATTAAAAACTATATACACCATTGTTTCGGACAATACTGTCTATATACATATGTTTTTTAAAGTGATTCAGCCACCGAAAATTTTTTAACTAATCTATACAACATTTATTGACGGAGTTATATAAAGACGTCAAGATATTAAGATTTAATAAGATGAGCATTATGACTAACTGTTTACATTCATTTGAGTATAATAGAGTGGTGCAAAACACATTTTTATACAGAATAGATCCGAAAACCAGATTTATGCTTTCATGACTAATGTGCAGAACATCTACATATTATATGTTATACATACCATTCAATTACATGTAAATATGATATTTTATGGTAAGCAGTTATCAAATTATTGAATAAGGCGGAGAAAACTTTCGATAGTTCGATTGCTTAGATCATTTTATATTCCGGTGGATATTACTTCCATAACTTTTTTTTTTTGGTCTAAATACCATTGGATTTTCACAATTATACGAGGTGTGTTCAAAGGAAAAGGTGAATTTTGATTTTTCGCGGGCTGTGTACATTTGATTATCGATATTTTGTTTTTATTATAATCGGACACATATGTTTATCATGTGCTTGCATTAGGAGCCAATTTCTATTAGTTATTAATAACAGAAAAGGTTAGTCACGTTTTTGTGTGCTTTTCGATTTTTGACTTTTGAAAGAAATGGATCAAAGAATATGTATTAAAGTGATCCAAGGCACTTGAAATGTTGACTCTGACCACTTTGTCTCAAAAAAGTATTTATACTTGTAAGTGGTACAAACGCTTTACAGAAGGCCGAGAAGATGTTGATGACGATGAGCATCCTGGAGAGAGCATCGAAACAGTGAAAAAAATTATATTTGAAAATCGTCGAAACACTAGGAAGTAGCAGAGAATGTTGGCACATCAATCTGCTGTATTCACTAGATTTGGCTTCCTGCGACTTTTCCTATTCCCAAAACTGAAGAAACCAATAAACGGAAAGCGTTTTGTCACAATTGATGAGATCAAGTCAGAATCGAGAAAGAGCTGATGCCTATACCGAAGAGCGCATTTCAGAAGTGCTTCGAGGATTGGAAAAAGCGTTGGCGCAAGTGTATATATCCTAGGGGGATTACTTTGAAGGGGAAAAAATAGATATTGATGAATAAATAAGTACTTAAAAAAAATCACCGTATTCACTAGATTTGGCTTCCTGCGACTTTTCCTATTCCCAAAACTGAAGAAACCAATAAACGGAAAGCGTTTTGTCACAATTGATGAGATCAAGTCAGAATCGAGAAAGAGCTGATGCCTATACCGAAGAGCGCATTTCAGAAGTGCTTCGAGGATTGGAAAAAGCGTTGGCGCAAGTGTATATATCCTAGGGGGATTACTTTGAAGGGGAAAAAATAGATATTGATGAATAAATAAGTACTTAAAAAAAA